AAAGATTGATTGTTATTGTGTACAATGGGAGAAGACAACACTTCAAAACAATGATTTTTTAAATTTTTGGTCAGGTCATGAGGCACCCACTTATAGAGCTTTTTCGCTTTTCCAATTTGCTTCAAATGCTGAATGACCGTAGAGTGGTCAGCTGTCAATTTTGAGTTCTTTGGCAACTTCTCATGTAGTTGTAAGAGAATCAGCTTTGATGATTTCTCTCAACTGGTCATTGTAAACTTCCGATGGCTGGCCACTGCACTCCTCATTCAAGGCTGTTGTCTCCTTTGCAAAACTTCTTGAACCACCACTGCACTCTGTTTGTTAGCAGTTCCTGGGCCAAATGTGGTGTTGATGTTATGAGTTGTCTCTGTGGCTTTACCGCCGCCCATTTGGAACTCGAATAACAAAATCGCTTGAATTTGATTTTTGTCTAACATCATTTCCATAGTCTAAAATAAATATAAACAGCAAGTAATAAGTCATTAGCAAAAAAAAAAAATAAAGTGAGAAATGTGCATTAAAATATGTAACGTAACCACATTTAAGAATGTATTCCAGTATCAAATGGCAAATTTCAACAATGCTAAAATTGCAATTACTTTTGTACCAGCCTAATACTAAGCATAATTTTTCAATTGAGAGGCACCTAAGTCCTAAACTCATTCTTTGCCTATTAAATCTCATCATATAACTATACCTTCGTTCTTATACCTATTTTGACTAAATTGTATTTTTAGTTTGTGTTCAATTGGTTTGAAGTTAAAATTGTTGATCAAGTATGTAAGCCTTCAGCAGTGGTCTTGCACAGAAAGACCTAAATCTAGAATCTGTGGCTTTGGCAGGCATGTTTTTGTTCTAACTGATGAACTATTTGGATTACTTTAAAGCAAATCCCAGACATTGTTATCATTTCAAAAATGCCATTAGCATACCTAAAAACAGAATAATCCCCCAACAATTCTTAGTTAATATCAAATATTACATACCCCCTAAATTTTTTTTAAATAAAAGTCAAGAATTCTAATTTCCCCAACTGTCTCATCTATATATATCTATATCTATCTATCTATATATATATATATATATTTACTTTTGCAGTCCATTCAAATCAAGATGCAAATAGAGTCCACACGCTGCATTTGGCTGATATGACTGATAAGTCTTTTTCTCTGAATCTATAGGTTACCTTTCCTTCTATTTTTTTCTTGCCATTTTTTTTTCACTTGAAGTCATATCATTTTCCCTACAAAATTTCCCATATTCTGATTTTTTTTTTTTTGCCTGCTGGTATTTGCTGGTTTTAAAAAACACATTACTTTATTTTGACTACGTGACTACCTGATGGAATAGGGAGAGGAGGGATCTTTCCCACTTGGCAAATGAGTAAATCAGAGTCCAGAGAGATGAAGTAAGCAAATTTTCCAAACTGAGTTAGTAAGTAGATGACCACAGGAAACCCATTCTTAGACCAAGAGCTCCTTTTACCTGGCTTCTTATTTAATAAACTACAGCAGTACTAAAACCACCAGAAAATGCTGAGGAGACTTGAATAAAAAAAAAAAAATCAAGCTATGATCAGTCCAATTTTATAAATGTCTTAAGACTTCTTAAAAGTAAGCCACATATTGTTATACAGGTGCAGTTCTTCATGAATGGGAATCTGATGAGCCTCAATATATGTATCTTTACATGTCTAGAGTAGTGTATGTGCCTACATGATTTTCATAAATTTATTCTCATATCATTCAGATATCTGTCTTATTATACAAGATTATAAACTTTTGGATACAAAATAGTTTTAGTTTCTTGCAATTTCTCACAGTCAAATGTATGTGACTGACACTATCTTTTTAGTGAAAAAGCAAAGGCAAAGTAAGCTGTGTGATTATTGAGTACTAAGTTAGAAATGCCATTTTCTCAGAGTAATGAAATGTGTCTGCTTATTTTTCACTGCCATCTACTGGTGACTTATGTTTCTGATTTAAAAACCTTTTAGGGAAGACTTTCAGAGGAACTTTTATAGAGAAAAAAGAAATGATGTCATAAAAATTCTTTGAGAAAGTTCATTTCAAAGAGGTAGGTGCTACTTTGATAGGCAGAGCCACCTTGACCATTGTAAGGACTACAAATTTATAGAGTATAACCCATTACTTTTAAGGCATAAAATAATGAAATTACAATTCCTAATCAGTAATTCTTATCACAGATGAACTCTGGCAAATTAATTTTAAACAAATTCAATACACTTCTAGTTAATAATTAAAATATACATTGTGCACCTGTGGGTCAAATAATGTGCTAGGTTCTGCCAACACTGCAGGGAATAAGACAGACATGGCTGTTATCCTCAGAGAGGGTGACTCAATATGGATGAGGGGGAGATTTCTTATTTAGTTTTAAGTTTTTTACAAAACACATCAACAAAATGAATTGTAAAATTTACTTAATGTAGAAAATAGGTTTCTCTTTTTGCATTTTGAATTTAATATAAACTAAATTCCTAAGTTTTAATATGATTTGGATTTAGATTACAGGCCTTTCCATGTATCATGAGTCTTGATCTCTTTGGTGACTATTTGAGAGAATGAACTGCTAAGATAGATTATATATACATATATCATATTATATATAATATATAATCACCATATAGTTGACCTTTAATAGTCTGTTTTTGAATATTAAAACATGATATTGCTGTTCCAAGTTTTAAAAAATATAAACAAACATATCACATTTATAAACCATAAACATTTTTTTCACTATGGTAACAAAATAGAAAGTAAAAAAATATTTAAAAAACAAGAAAGCTGTGTTAAATACTAGTAAGGATAAATCTAAATTTTCTCAAAAATTGAGTAAAACTGGCACAGACCTTATCTTAGCTTCAAATTTTCATAATTCAAGAAAGGGAAGATGTTTTGTAAATGATTTTTCCTAAATACATTGAAGCCAATAAATTGTTACTCTCAATAGGCAGTGGCTCCACATATGTATATATTTTTTGCCTACTTAGTGCTATATATATTTTATGTGATGACCTAAAACTGATACTTCAATGCATAGGTTGGGCTCTTTGCTGGTTAATTGGCATCAGAATTGTGTTTTAGTTGGTGTTTTACCATTTGGTAATATAGTCAGTAAGATTTTGAGTTTTCTAAGTTTCTGAATTCATATTTTCTAAAAGCCAACACCTATTCATTCCTTTTAAGATATTTTACTGGCTCAAATAAAATGTTTGAAATATTAGTTTGATGAAGAGTTCTCTATCAATTCTTCACAGAGGTTAACAGACCTTTTGGTAAATGCTCAGAATTGCAGGCTACTAAGTGATGCACTCAAGTAACTAGTAATACCATCAGATGTTTGCTATATGGCATTTCTGGATTCAATACACATGTGGGCTACTTTGGCATCAGACTTTGGCTATAATTCTGGCTAGTTACCATTCATAAAATATATCCAGTTATTCATAAAGGGACTGGGTGACAGCACAAGAATCTAAGTGCACATCCAGTGTTAAAAAGTGACTAATGTCCGTGGATCACTAACATTTTTATGTATGATCAATAACACATTTATATTCACCTTGTTTGGCCTAAGTTTGATTACTCTTAGTGAAAATTTATTTGCTAGAATTTGGGTGTATTTAAAATTTCAGATTATGTGTAAAGTAGAATGTTACGTTAATCTTCAGAGTCAATGTTATCCTGTAGGTGTCATTATAGAAAACCTAAAATGTATTCTGTTACTTTAACCTTTGTGTTTTTCATCAATCATAATGGAATGCATTTGCCTAATGTAAGACACTTATCTGGTTTTGTTTGGAAGATTATACTTGAGAGATGGGGGTCCTTTTCTATACTCCTTATTGTCCAGTGCAATGGTATGCATGTAACTGGTACATTAATTTAGTAAATATTTAACAAGTAAGACTTCTTTAGACATTCCATTTTAGAATTCTTATAGATGAAATAAGCCAATTTTGAAGAATTTCTAGGGTTTAAAATTTTAATAAATGAAAGGCTCTTGCCATTATTGATCATGATTCAAAAGTTGATGTTAAATTGAAGTTAGAAATGGTGACTGTTTATATGTGCCCAAATGTATAAAGCAGAATCCAAGATAGAATTAAGAGTATATAATAGAGAAAAAGATGGGAGAGAATGTGAATAGGGTTAGAGTTGAAAATGAACAATGTTTATTTTTTATATAAATTATATATATTATAAAATAATAACACTTATGAGGAAATACTGGGGAGTAGGGTAAAGTGACATTTAAAAAAACAACACTCTTCCAAACACAATAAAGCATAATTCTAATAGGTTTTTGGAAAAATTGAAAGTTTTTTTATTCATTGACCTCTTTTGATGAATTAAGATTTTTACCATTCCACACACTATAACTAAACAACTACACGTTAATCACAATTTTGTTAAAATGCAAGAAAAACATTTTGTGATTCTGAGTCTAAATGCAGAAACTAAGACATCTCAATCCTAGATTTATATACTTGATTTTCTTATAAAAATAACCTCAGTTATTATGCCAATATTTATCTAAAAAAGACAGCCCTCTGACAGTAAACTAATAACTGGCATAACCACAGTATGATTATGTGCTATGGTGAAACAAATGTGTAAAATTTTTCCTATTTGATTGGACAGGAGTGTAAAACCAGAACTATATTAAAAAAAACTATGTAAATATTAGAAATATACCTCAGAAATCAAATATCAGTGGGAAAATTTTTACAAAAGTAATTTCAGAAAATATATGAACACATAAATCTTTAAAATATAGAATTCTAAATACTTGATATATTTGGGATACTCTACAATGTTTAATTACTGTAAATTTTTCTTAGGTTTTTCTGGATGATGTAGCTATCTACAGAATTTGTGCACTTTTGCAAAAAAAAGTCTCAGTTGTGAAAAACTAAAACATTTCTTCAACTTGTAAAAAGGAAATAAAAAATGAAGAATCTCTTCACTAAAATATAGCATTATAACATGGTATGTTTTATTTGATCACATCTTGTTTTGAGAATACAATGTATGGTCAGAGACAGAATTTTTAGGAGAACAGGTAACTGAAAACCAAGTTGCCTCTTTTCAGGCTAGCCACAAAACTTTAGGTGAAAAGTGCACTTTATATATCTTTGACATTTATGTAGATAAAAGCAGAGCAGGCTCATGTTAGAGCCAGTCACCCAAAACATCAATTCTAGGGGTCCACAGTCTTACAGCCCCGTGGCTTATTTTTGTATGACCCTGAGTTAAGAATGGTTTCTCTGTTTTTTAAAGGGTTGTTTAAAAAAAACAAAAAACAAAGAATAATATGTGACAAAGACCATATATGTTCTGCAAGGCCAAAAATATTTATGATCTGGCCTTTTATAGAAGTTTGCAGACCCTTTATACCATTCTGGCAGTACAATCAATTACAAGTCCAAGATAATGTTCATTTATTCCCACCACGAATGTTGTAATATTCTAAAAAGGTATCTTCTGATGTCATTTGTCAGAATTTCTTTTTAAGTTTTTCTTCATCTTCAACATCATCAAAGTTCATCCTATAATGATAATGTAAAGTGAAAAGACAAAGGAAATATGAGTTTGTATTGTTAAAAATAAGGTAAAATAAAATATTAACTCACCAATACTTTACTTTTTCAACAATACTCAATATTCTTATTTAAGGAATCACTACTTGAAATATAGCTTACCTAACTATAACGATGGAAAAGAACAGAATACTTCCTACTTCTTATCTGTCCACAGCAGATAGTACTAACTAGAGGTTTATTTTATTTTATTTTTTGGCATGGCTAATCCTTACAGGCAACTATAGCTTGATATACTTTCAAAGTCATGTATGATATGCTCTTTAGCTTAATGTTGGTTATGATAATCTGGTTTATGTCTAATGTTTATTTCAAATATTTAAGATTCTTGAGAACTAATATAGCAAAAACATGTTTGTTCAGTGAAACTAAAAAACAGATTCATAACTATCTCTTAATTTTTAGATTTGTATAAAATAGTCTTAAAGCAGGTTGTAAAGCTTCTCTGTTGGGGCATGCAGTTCTGAACTGCACTATAGCAGAACCTGTGTTCTGTGTTTCCCTTCCTGGGAAAGAATCCAAGCCACCTCATATGTGATTGTATTAAATTCCATATGGTAATAAGCACTCCAACAGCCATGGACTCTTTGGTCTGCCTTTAGGTATGCCCTAGAATAACAATGATTTAAAAAAGAAAAAAATGAACTGCCTTCTGAAGAATAACAGGAAAGAGACTATACTGCTTCTTAACAGATTAAAAACCCAAAGAGGGGCCAAAATGAATATGGCTCTCAATACATCCTGACTATAGCAAGAACAAAAGAAAATTTACTATCCAAAATGTGTTATGAGGCTCCAGTTTATTTAATTCCTAACAATTCAATAATTTTGCATTTGAGCAGAATTTATGGCTACAGTCACTATTTTTTTTTTTTTGCAACTTCATTGCAACTTCACATACCAAAAAATTCCTATATTTAAGAGTCCAGTAGCTTTCAGTACATTAAGAGTTGTGCAACTATCATTACAGCATACTTGTAAAACATTTTCCACACCTACAAAAGGAACTCCTATTACCTTTAGCAGTCACCCATATTTCTGCTCTTGTCCACACCAGCCAACCACTAATCTATCTTGTCTCTATGGATTAGTCTATTCTAATTTTACATAATTAGAATCACATAATATTTGGCCTTTTGTGACTGGCTTCATCCACTAAACATACATTTTCAAGAGTCACCCATGTACCATGCATCAGAACTTCATTCCTTTTTATGGTGGAAAAATGTCCCCCCTGTATGGACACACCACATTTTGTTTACCATTCATCAGTTCATTGTCCATTCATCATGGACATTTAGGTTTCCTTTTTTTTTTTTTTTTTTTTTTTTTTGCTGTTATGAAGGATACTACTATGAACATTAGTATATAATTTTTGTCTAGACTATAGTCACTATTTTTTAAGTGGCTTTACTGACCAAATTTCTAAGCATTTCAGTGTCTATAGGCTACATTTTGATAGTCATATTTCCCAAAGCAGAAATTTTTAACTATCTTACTATTTTTTTTTTTTTTTTTGAGACAGAGTCTCGCTTTGTTGCCCAGGCTAGAGTGAGTGCCGTGGCATCAGCCTAGCTCACAGCAACCTCAAACTCCTGGGCTCGAGTGATCCTTCTGCCTCAGCCTCCCGGGTAGCTGGGACTACAGGCATGCACCACCATGCCCGGCTAATTTTTTATATATATATCAGTTGGCCAATTAATTTGTTTCTATTTGTAGTAGAGACGGGGTCTCGCTCTTGCTCAGGCTGGTTTTGAACTTCTGACCTTGAGCAATCCGCCCGCCTCGGCCTCCCAAGAGCTAGGATTACAGGCGTGAGCCACAGCGCCCGGCCTTATCTTACTATTTTTTGAAGCTACATTTTTACCTATTGATACATGTAAAATAAGAATAAACTCTGATAACTTCTGCCAAAGTCAGCTCTAGGCTTAGCCCTTACCTTATTTCTCTTTTCTTGATTTTGGAGAGTTTCCAATTTTTCAAATATTAAGGCAGTAATTGCTTTTGCATCTCTGGCATTTATTTGCTCTTCCCCAAACTTTCTCTAAAATTAAAAACACTCTTGTTATTAATCATAACATGACATTTCCATCTAAGAAACTTGATTAAATATGCTTTAAAGTTCTTTTGTTCTAGAAATTTAAGTGTTTGAAATTCAAGTTTCTTCAAGGAAATAATGCTACAAAGTCACAGTTAGGCCATAATGTACCTAAAATAAATACTAGTGCTATGAGAATGTAAAACAATTCCTTGGTAAAAATACATCACTGACTCCATAAGCTTCATATTAAATTATACAAGAAAAGATATTCCTAGAAGACTGTAATCATTCTACTCTAATATAATCAATAACACTGACAAAACCTTCACCAACAACATTAATGGAGAGCAATGTGTATCTCCTAGTTTTCATGTGCCCAAGGCAGGAAGGTGGCTAAAATCGGGGGAGGGAGCAAGTCAATATATTCAGGCCTACTTATTTTGGATCTGGAACTCCTGTTTCCTTAATCCTGGTGTGAACTCCAACCCACATAGTATGTGGTAGAATTTTGCTTTTGTGTGTGACTGCCTACCTGGTTTGTATTTCTGTCTACTCCCATCATTATTGTGCTTTGGGCTTCCTATCTGGCCTGGATTTCTAGATGCTACCTCTATTTCTGTTTGGACAGGTACATCTGGTCCCTAACTTTGTACTTTGGACACATGGTAACACCTTTCCAAACAGCTCTGTCTATGGTTAATTCTGTGATTGCTCATCACATGATACTCCTCCAATACCATTTTACACCTGAATAAGCCCCCTATTTATGTCACCAATTTCTCAGCTGTTCTGAAAACTGGGGAAAATAGCTGTTGATGCCAAAGGAATGAAGACCCAGGCTCTGGTATTAACTACCTTACCTCCAGTGAGTTCTGCTTGCACCAGGCTGTTCTTAAAACAGACAGCTTCTTGACAAATTAAGAACTCTCACTGAAAAATCCAGATGTGTGACAATTCTAGATTTCTGAAATTCATCACCTAATTTCTTTAGTTAGCTCTATTTCAAAATACATCTACCAATAAATATCAGATCTTAACCTGATACTCTCCCTCACAAAGTATAAAAATATTTGAAATTATTTATTTTGAATGTTTTATCAGAAAACATGAGTTCATGATAAATACTTATATAGTTAATAGTTTTTCCCCCCAAAGTAAGATCATTACTTTGAAACTTAGTATAAAGCATTTTGAGTAGAAATATAGGAAGTAAACATTATTCCAGGCAGCAGTGTATATTACAGGGTATTCTTAGCCTTTTGAGGCAATATTGCTTTTACTATTCTTGTTTTTTTTGTTCAGCTGGCCATATCATTGTTAAGACTAAATCGATAATTGTGTCATCAGCTGCATTCCAGGCAAAGTACTATCCATTTACTTAAGACCATTCAAGTCTGCTTTCATCATTTAGGTTTTATTGGTCATTTATTATCATTTGTTAAGCTCTTCCCTTCATGTACTTTTTCAACTTTTACCTATTATAGTTAGAATTATCTTTTCAAGTCTCCTTTTAGATAGAAAATGACTACATTTTTCTGTTTGCTCTCTGACACTGAAAGGTCATTCAATTTTTCTAGGATCCTTACCAAACTGTACAATCTCCTTGGTCTCCCTTAATTTGCTGTTTTTTCTTTTAATTAAAATTTAAAAAATCATGCCTGATTGTTTTTTGCTTATTCATCATTCTCTTCTCATTTACCTTCTTACAAACCAATCAAGCATAAGAAAGTTAGTGTTCAATTCTATCTGCAAAAATACCAGTTCTTGAAATCTCTTTTTACTCAAAAAATGATACCACAGTTATACTGTCAAAAATGTCTTACTCTCTTACTTGGGAAGACAGCAAAGGTCACGAGTAATTACACTGGCTGAACAACATAGCTTTTGTATGAATGATCATAAATAGAGGTTATCTCAATTTTGTTAAAACCCATTAGTAGGTCTCCAGATTTTTTAATTAAAAAAGAAAGCTAAGTGCCTTCCAAGAGTAATTACGACTGAACCAAGGCACTTATCTTTTATTTTGTCATCTAAACCCACTAATATTCTTCAAGATAAATGGTCAGGAACTAGGGCTATGTCAAAGGCAAATTAATTTCAAAAGTACAGGCTGAGTATCCCTAATCCAAAAATCTGAAATTCTCCAAAATCTGTAACTTTTTGAGCACCAAAAAATGCACCACTGGAGCATTTAGGATTTTCAAATTCGGGATGCTGAACAGGTAAGTATAATGCAAATGTTCCAAAATCTGAAAAAATCCAAAATAGTGCTGGTCACAAACATTTTGGGTAAGAGATACTCAACCTGTGATATGCACTTCTTCTATAAAAAGTAGTAAATACAAAACTTCACAAAGTAAATAATGATCTTGAATTCTACTACTCAAAGATAACCACTAATATTTTGTTATGCTTTTCTCTAGTGGTTTTCATTAGTATAAAAATTTTAAGGCAACTGAGAGCGTATCAACTATGAGACAGAAAAGCCTTTTAAGATCACTTGATATACATATAAGTTAAAAGAAGCTTATATTAGTAATATGCAATAATATAAAAGGAGAAACAGAAGAAAGCATTACTCAGTCTCAAAGGTGACTGAAATCTCCTTTTGAGCTTGGGCAGCTAAAGGAGGGAAGATAGAGGAAAGCCTGTACATACCTTTGTTCTTTCATAGAAATAAAATTTAACAGTTGGATAGGCTCTGATACCAGCTCTCTGGCATGTCTGAGAGTAAGCCTGACAGTCTACTTTTCCAGCTTTCACTTTTCCTTTAATCATCTGAAAAAAGAAAAATATGGTTTGTCATTTTCTCTTTGGCATGAACTATTTTGGCAATCACAAAGCAATATGATATATAACGTTTCAAATCTTATATATTAGAGATTTATTAATTACTGTTTTAATTCTTCTTATTCAAACAAGATTGTTTCCAAATTCTTCCTGGCCCTTTAAGCTCTTCTTCACCCAGTACCACCTCTCCAATAGCAAATAAACTCTCTTTCGCCTTATCAAGAAAACTGAGCAGCTTTACCCTGAAATACCTCAACTTTTTCCTGCTACCCACACCTTGCCCATCATATCATAAACATCTGTTTCTATCCTTTTTTGTTTCTTGGGTCTCAGGTGCTGTGGTTAACATTCTTCGCCTTGTGATGGCTGACTATTATCTACCTCTGTTCTCCAGTCCCTCCCTGTCTCATACTTTTTCCGCTGAATATACACATGATCACAGAAGGATTTCGACCTGGATTGCAATGGTTTCTCTAGCCACCAACCAGCTTCTCACTCTTTTTTTTCCTGAGCAGCAGTCTACTCTTTCATTACTTACTCATTACCTACTTATTTGGCAACACATTCCAGTCTGACTTTTGTTCTTACTGCTGCCTCCACTGAAACTGCTCTAAATTCAAGTGACCCATTCAAACAAACTGAATGGGCACCCGATGTTGCTGACCACTCTTTTCTCTTTGTTGGCATTTTTCACTATTCTCTCTTGCCTTTCCTACTGCTCTGGCTCTTCCTTTTTCCAGCATGAGGACTTCTTCCTTTGCACTTAGCTGCCCCTCAAGTTATATCTAGTCAGAGTTCCTCCTATGGTGAACAATCTTTTCACTGTGAGTACTCTCCTAGGGTGATTTTATATAACTATATGCTGATGTACCCAATCTCCCTTTGACTTCATTTGAATTGGCTTGCTTTGGGTGATTGTCTCCTTAGCACCTCAAACACAGCAGGTCTAAAATTAATCCTTTCTCCTTCACTTACTCTTCCTCCTGTCCTATTCATTCAGTTCAAGCCAGAAACTAGGTTTATCCTGGACTTTTCTCTTTTCCTTATCTATTACAACCAAACTTTAAATCCTGTTTATTCTTATCTCTTTTTTGTATCTGTCCCCTTCTTTTTTATCACTGCTGTCTTAATCCTAATTCAAGTTATCATCTCTCACCTCAGGACAATTAAAATATATTTGCTGCCTCTAATGTGATCCAGAAGACGGGTTCACCAATAGGCAGACTGTTAGGGCACCAACAAAACCGTGTACATAAATGTGTATGTAGATGGACACACTTATAATGAAGGTAAGAGAAATGTAGAGAGATTATTTTAGTTAAGTTTTTATGTAATTTATAAAATGTTTATATATTTGCTTGCTTGTATTTTCATTACTCACAAGAGGATACCATATTGTCTGTGGTGATCAAACATCATTCTCTGGCATGACTCTAACATTCTTTCACCTGTGTTCCAGTTTCATTCAAATTTTACTATAACAATTATCCTGTATCATGTATATTTATTTGCATTTTACCTTTCTACTAAATTAAAATCTCCTTAAAGACATGGAATGTCTGTCTTTTTATCTCTGTAGCCCTAGTACCTGGCATAATGCTCTTCACTTCTTGCTTAGGATTTGCTGAATAAATGATCTTTTTCATGTTTAAAAATTTCTAGCTATAAGACATTGTTGCATTATAAAGTTTATAACTAAGTTTTCATTACATGAAGAATAAGGAATAAAATATTTTTTTAGCACTGTTACAGAAAAAGCATAAGAAAAGGTGAGAATAAGTTAGAAAGAACCTCTTATCTGAAGGACCAGTCAATAACTAAATAATCTAAAACTAAAATATAGAGAAGCCCTGAAGTCCCTTTGCTAAAAAATGTCCATGGCTTGGGATGCTGAACTATTATTTTGGACTGGTGCTGACTTTCTCATGCTAGTGAGTGTTTTATACTGCCAATGGCAAGAGTTCCTTAAGTTATGTAGGCAAGGAAGCTATTAATCTGGATTAGATCATTAATAAGACTGTTATGAAACACCAAAACTGGATTACACTGAGGGTATGTAATCAGTTTAATTTTATAGAAGTATTTACTAAGTTAGGCACTGGGGATATAAAGATAAATAAGACATGGACCTTGCCCTTAGGAAGCACATAGTCTTATGGAAGAGACAGCTATGTAGAAAAATAATTAATATGCATTTTATCAGTACACTGATGGAGTATAAGCTATCACAATGACACTGGTTAACTGAGAAGGGTAGAGAATACAGAAGTGCCATCAGAGCTGAGTTTTGTAGGAAGAAAAAAAAAATACAGATGACCAAGGTAAGGACAGGGCATTTTAGAGGGAGCACCATGTAAATAAGGATACACGTTTAGAGAACCTGGAGTACTTCATTGTGCTTGGACTGTAAGGTGTGAGGCTGGGTGACAGAGATAAAGCTTACATCAAAGACCTGAAGTCAAGGGATGCATACCAAGAAACTTGGTTAGTAAGCCAGAGAAGGTTATATTTTAGAGCAGCAGACCAGTACTGAAAAAGGTAGACTGGCAGGATAAGACTACAGTTGACCCTTGAACAACATGAGCTCAACTTATGCAGGTCCACTTATGTGCAGATTTTTTTCTACCAACCAAGAATGAAAAATACAGTATTCATGAGATGTGAGTACAAAAAGTTGGCCCTCCTTATATGCAGGTTTCACAAGTTCCACATGGCCAATTGAGGGACTTATGTATGCCAGATGAGAGACTTATGTATACTGGATTTTGGTATATGTAGGGTGGTCCTGGAACCAATCCTGTGCATATACTGAGGGACATCTGTAGTTAAAAGGTAAATATAAGTCTAGATAAGGTTTGACCAAAGAGGCTAGCAGTAGAGATGGATAGGAGATGACCCATTTGAAAGACATTTTTGGAGATAGAACGGATAGGATCTAGTGATTGAATAGTTTTTTTAAAATTTAGAGGAAACTTTTTAAGAAAAAAATTAAGAAGTATATATTTATCATGTTTTATCTAATTATTAAAACATGCATGTGGCTACAACTTATTTAAGTAGATAGAAAAGACTTACCCTAGCCAGGAGCTCAAACTCTGGAGCAAAATTTTGGCAAGGTCCACACCAAGGAGCATAGAAATCAACCACCCAATGATTTTTTCCTTGTAAAACTTTTTCATTGAAAGTCTGAGGTGTTAGATCTATGGACACTTGAGGTAAAAATCTGTGGCAAGGGATCAAAATAATTTTTAATTATACAAAACCAAAGCAAATATCTAACATGTAATATAAGACTTTCTAAGTTAAAGACGACTTCAAAGCACAGACCTATCTTGGTAAACCCTTTACTAAGTAGTTTAGAACCTTAACCCATAGTAAACTTAACTGTTGACATAAATAGTACATATTTTAATTACTTACCCTAGACCCCAGATTCTTAGGGAATAAGCGTCTCTATTCCAACCATTGTAACTACTGAAAGAAGAAGAAATACACACATTGTAAACAGAATTTTCTATTATTGGATAAATTCAGCAAACAATTTTGTAGTAATTTAAAAAATAAGTTATACAAAAAAATCAAAATATTGCAAAAAATTGCACTTCATCTAGCATCTCTCTTCTCGGATACACCTAACTATAAATACTGGTTCCATGGCTTCACAAATATGTTTTTCTTTAGTCTTGATATTTCTTGGTCCTTTAAAAAGACTGGAATGTCCAGCTGCCTGGTGGACATCTCCTGCAGACCTATGAGAACTGCAAAACTCAATGTCTGAGCCTTTAGTTTTTGAATCTTTATGCAAGTTATTTTCCGTCAAATTCCTATCCACTTTTAAAGACCGTCAAAAGCTACCTCAAAAATGTAGCCTTTCATGTTTCCTCACAGTTGTGATCCTTTCCTCCTTTGAGATCTGTGGCTTATTTTTACTTCTTTAACAATAATCATCACAGTCCATCTTACATTTGAGTTTCTGACCTGAAATACCATGTGGTATTGTAGAAACAGCATGGGCACTGAGACAAACCTGGGTTAAAAACCTCAGCTTCAAATCTTAGCTGTGACTTGGGAAGGTTACCTAAGGTTTGAGAATCAGAGTTCATGTCCCTATGATAGTAGGAAGAGTAATAATTCCTACTTCACAGAGTACATGTGAGGACTAGTGGAGAGAATGTGAGTAAAGTATCTATTACAGTACCTGAAATCAGGTAAGTACTTAATAAATGGCTCTTCCTCTCATCTTCTTGACTAGACTGTTAAGACTGATGAATAGTGAGATTGTTTATTTCTCTCTTTTCATCTTCTGATAGTATGTTAGTGAGCTTCATCTTCAATCTTAAACATGGTGGACTACTAATGTTTGTTGGGTTAACTTTTATGTAGTAAGGATAACTTAAATGTTAACTGTATAATTAAATGATTATAATATCTTCAAATTTGAAAGAATACTTACTGATACTGATTAGCTTTATTTGATTTTGGGGGAAAAAATCTTATCTCAGGGTATCTCCGAACATTTTCTTGGGCACAAAAAGAGTGATACTGTTGGCAGTCTATACTGCCCACATTGATCAGCCCAGTTAATGTCTATAAAAGAAAAAAACAGATAAATATACCAAAGTGATAAGAAAAAAACTACCTCCATTGCTTTTTATATAGACTTATAATAAAGAAATAGTTATATTATCAATGATTTTCACCAAATAAAAATGGATAAGGATTTAACATAACAGACCATTTATGCTAATGAATTTGAAATCTAATTTTATAATTAAGAACTCACTACAATTGCAGATTAAACAAATTATTTATTATATGGGAAAAATTATATACTTCTAAAATTCATAGTGTCAGATATCAGGAACTAATGAAACTATTGAAAAGAGCAAAATATATAATCTTAAATGTTAATATACTAGAAATCACTTTAACTTTTACATTTATTTTTTCTTAGAAATGTCAAATAATTGCATTTTCTAATCCATTAATTAATTTAATTAGTTTCTAGCCTTTCATGATTTATAACACTGTGCCTATTCATAGGAAATTTTCTAAATACAAATGCTCAAAACTATTTTTTTCTTACTTTTAAGTCCCACAAAACTGCAAGGAAATGATATTTTTAAAGATCTAAAAGTAAAGCAGTAAAAAAATTTATATAGAAAATAAAAGGGGATCTTTGGGTTGATGTTAGCCACAATTTAGTCAAAAGTATACCAGATGCCACATAAAAAAAGGGTAGACTATTCTATACCACTATGTACCAGACAGAAACATACATCATACCACTTGAATGCAAGTGGTATGATCAGAACTGCTATTAAGTAATAATCTAGTTCTGGGTTCATTCATCTCAGTGTCAAAATAACTGTTAAATAAACATTTGTACTAAATGTTAAGATTTAAAATAAACTATTTTACTTTACCCGGGCCATTCTTTTCCATTCTGGCATTAAGACTTGACAGGGATGACACCATGGAGAATAGAAATCAACCATCCAAACTTCGTTGTGTTTTCTTTGTGTAACTAGTTCGTTGAAAGTGGTGGGTGTAAGGGAGACCACTGAAGGATTCATAAGATCCTAAAGAGAATATAGCTTCTATTATAATATATACACAAAAAAGAGTTGTTTGTATATTCTTGGCAAATTGTTGGTACAGGATGAGGACCTCTTATCCAAAATGCTTGAGACCAGCACTTGTTTTGGATTTTGGAATATTTCCATATGCATATATTTTTACATATACATATTCTGGGGATGGAACCCAAGTGTAAAAGTGAAATTCATTTATGTTTCATATACTCCTATACACACAGCCTGAAGGTAATTTTAGACTAATATTTTTAAAAATAATTTTATGCATGAAACAAAGTTTGTGTTAAGTACTTATGTGTGGAATTTTCTACTCATGGCATCATATTGGCACTCAGTTTCAGATTTTGGATTTTTGGATTAGAGATGCTCAACCTTTAGAAAGTTCCTGTTTTGGAGAAATCAAAAGATGCTTATGGATATTTAAAGGAAATCTAGAGTGAATTATTTTTAAAAAATGAAAATCGTCCCTATTTTTTAAGCTTGAATTTTGCCCATCAATTTTCTAAAATCGAGGTCTATTTTTCCCTTATCTCTATGTATCACTAAAATCACTGTAGGCAGAGAAAAGAGGTTACTTTAAGACTATGAGGCGATAATACAAGAGTTTGAAGAACTGCAAAGATCTACAGAGGCCATACAGTTCTTTTCTAGAACCAAGAATGACTGGTTTGGAAATGACCCTTTAATTACTAATGCAAAGCTTACTATCTCATTTTTCTGACATTCTGACTATAGATACTGCACAACCTCACTGCACAACTCTATAGATCACTTGTTCTAAACATTTTAACAAAGCTTCAGCCTATAACAATCAGGTAATACTAACAAAGAGGTTAGTTTCACTGGCAAAACAATGCAAAAACATTACTTTGGAGGAGGAGGAACAGACGGATAGGAAGAGCAGGATGGTCATTAAACAGACGATAATAACCTATAATTTTTCATCTATTTTAGGAGGCCTCTGTTAAGTATTTTAGTTAATACTGAGAAAAAAGGAGATGCTGCAGATGCAGGGTGCTTCTGTTTTGAGAGAAAACAGGGCAAAGCTTTATGTGAAAATATAATTACATATATTCAATAAATAGTTATATCCATTATGTACAAGGGACTATACTAGGTAACAAACAAAATACAGACCTATTCTCAGAGTTTGTAGACAAGTATACAATAAAATATCAGAAAAAATGAACACTTTCTTATCAGAAAATAGCTTTGGTATGGAAAGAATCCCATAATTAAATGGTTTTATATTCATAGAGTACACATATAAACAGAAGTATTTCTAGACTATAATTTGAAATACCTCTATAAACTCCAAGATCTGTTCAGCAGAGTGATGTCCTTCATACTCATGAATGTTGGACTGGTTGAATACCACTGTTGTTGGATAAGCCTGAATGTTATACTGTTAGGACGGAGAATACAAATTAAACAAAGATTTATTTTACCTACTTGTTTAAAATTTATAACCAGCTTCGCTTTAAGTAATAAGAACAAGATTTTAAAAACCAACTTTTAAATTGCTGTTGTCAGAAAAATTTTCACCTAGCCAAATTTAGCAAAGGAGATAGATTCATGGTGATGAATACTGACAAATATCTGACTTATTTATAGCCACTCCATTAGCCATGAAAACCACAGGCATCAAAACATTGAGAAGTGAGCACAGGTTATTACATACTTGGTTCCTTTTTACTCTCCTGAACTAAGGCAAAGAAGAGGCTGTAAAGAGTAAGCTATATCTCTAGTTTGAATTTTTTAAAAACCATAATAAATATTCTAATTTTTCTAGAAGTACAAGATGTTTGAGGACATAAAATAGCCAAAAATAAATAATGACTGTATGCCTTACTATATTTTAGGTTAAAGAATTATGAATCATGCTAAGAATATGGTCACTTTTTATTATTTATTCAAGATAGCCTATATAGTACAAAATGTTCAATTTCCTCAGAATTTACACGGGAACCAACATAGGAAGCATCTCTCTAAAGGTTTTATTTTTTGAAAAGTTACAAAAAGATCCCTGTATGGATTTGCTGTAGCTGAACTCTGCATCCTTAAAGTTGACAAGCACTACTTAGTAAACTGAAATCTTTGACTAGGATTCAAAAATAACTTTAGGAAAAACAATGAAAACATTTATCAAAGTTTTGAAAAATGTATAAATTCAAATAATTCATTAGATTAACAAAGCAATTATAAATAAAATTTAACAAGTGCTTACCATGTGTCAGCACTATTTTAGCACTTAACATGTAGTTTCTCATTTATTCCTCAAAACAAATTTATTCATAGCTAACATTATAAAACCCACTTTATACTTGAGGAAACTGAGTTAATGAGAGCTAAGTGACTTGGTCAAGGTCAACCAATTGGTGGGTGGTGAATCCTGGCCTCTATTCCAGGTGAACCTGACACCATAGTTTCAAACCCTTTCTCTTATGTATTTAATGAGTTGAGATAAAAACTAAAGGAATTCAAATTAAGATAGTTACCATATTTTATATATTTGGTTGGCATTTCTTTTCAAAGTTACATATAAGACGTTCAAACCCAAAGGCCTTGTTTATTTCCTTTATTTTTTTTAAAACTTACTTTAATGAAATTTCAAACATCGAAAAGAGAATAATCTGCCAAACATCTACATATCCCTCTATATTTAACAAAGATTAACTTTGGGCCATATTGGTAGATTACTGACATTCTTTTCCTTGATCCCAATTCATTCTCTTTTCCATAATAGGGTCAACCATTATCCCGAAATTAGTGTGTATTCAATCCACTGATTTTTTTTTTTTTTTTCTTTCTTTGAAATGGAGTCACCCAGGCTGGAGTACAGTGGCATAATCGCAGCCCACTGTAGCCTCAAACTCCTGGATTCAAGCAATCTTCCTGCATCAGCCTCCTGAGTAGGTGGGACTACAGATACATGCCACCAGGCCTGGCTAATTTTTCTTATTTTTTTGTAGGAACAAACAGGGTTTCCCAATAGCTCTAGCTGGTCTTGCTGGCCTCAAATGATCCTCCTGCTTCAGCCTCCCGAAGTGCTAGGATTATAGGTGTGAGCCTCCCATTGAGTTTTTATATTTTTGCTACATGCATATTTATCCCTAAGCAGTATATTCTAACACTATAGGCAATATATTGTTTTGAGCATTTCAAAACTTTCCATAATTTTTATACTCTGTATGCTATTTTGTAACCCACTTTTTCATTCTGTATTTTTGAGAATTACCCATACTGGTAAAGACATAGCTAATTTTAATAGTCTATTGTATTCCCCCCTGTGACTGGATAATTTATTTATATACTTGTGATTATCAGATTTATACATTTTTATTCATTTGATGGGGGAAGATATCTGACTTTTGTTGTAATTTGCATTTCTTGATAATTAGTGAAGTTAAATATGTTTCACATGTTTACTGGATTTCCTACTGTACCAAACATCTATAACTTTTCTCATTTTTTTCCTATTGAGTTGTTGTTTTTTTTTGTTGTTGTTTGTTTTGAGACAGAGTCTCACTTTGTTGCCCAGGCTAGAGTGAGTGCCGTGGCATCAGCCTAGATCACAGCAACCTTAAACTCCTGGGCTCAACCAATCCTGCTGCCTCAGCCTCTCGAGTAGCTGGGACTACAGATATGCACCACCATGCCGCGCTATTTTTCTATATAATATTAGTTGGCCATTAATTTCTTTCTATTTTTTTTTTTTTTGAGACAGAGTCTCACTTTTGTTGCCCAGGCTAGAGTGAGTGCCATGGCGTCAGCCTAGCTCACAGCAACCTCAAACTCCTGGGCTCAAACGATCCTCCTGCCTCAGCCTCCCAAGTAGCTGGGACTACAGGCATGTGTCACCATGCCCGGCTAGTTTTTGTATATATATTTTAGTTGGTCAAATTAATTTCTTTCTATTTTTAGTAGAGACGGGGTCTCGCTCAGGATGGTTTCGAACTCCCAACCTCGAGCAATCCGCCCGCCTCGGCCTCCCAGAGTGCTAGGATTACAGGCGTGAGCCACCGCGCCCGGCCTATTTCTTTCTATTTATAGTAGAGATGGGGCCTCGCTCTTGCTCAGGCTAGTTTCGAACTCCTGAGCTCAAGCAATCCGCCTGCCTCAGCCTCCCGGAGTGCTAGGATTATAGGTGTGAGCCACCGCGCCCTGCCTCGTGGCTACTCTTATTTCATCTATTCTGCTCCCACCCCATAGGCTATTTTAAAGCAAATTCCAAATGATACATCATTTCATCCATAAATATTTCAGTATATTTAAAATTTAAGGACTTCCCCTCAATATAACCACGGTATTATTTGCACATCTAAAACTTAACAATAATTCCTTGAAATCATTAGCTATCTGGTCAGTGTTCACATTTTTCCCAATTATCGTTTTTTTTTGGACCTTTTGTATGAACTGCATCCAAAGAAGGCCTAAACGTGGTACTTGACTGATCTTTTAAGTCTCTTTAATCTCTTCTCCTTTGTTCCCTACAATACACTTGTCCAATAAGCTGAGTGTATGCCCTGCACAGTTCTCCACAAGCTGGAATTTGCAGATTGCATACCTATGGTGTCACTTAACACGTTCCTGTCATTGGATTTCCTATACAATAATGGATTTGGAGGCTTGATCTATTTTAGGATTTTTTTTTGCCAAGAATTTATAGGTGGTATATACTTTCATCATAAGGTATATAGTTCCTAGTTCTTCAAACTGAGGAGTGAATATTTACCTGAGAAATATTTTCATGTAAACAAAGATTTCAAAAAGCTTGCTCATTAATTTCCTATTAAATAAACTAAGATGACAAGGATGAAGAAAGCCAAAGAATAAAAATTATAGAAGCATTTTATCAAGTCAACTAAATATTTGCCTGAGTTTGATAAGACCTTATCTACATTCTACCAATAGATTATCTATTCATGTTTTAATCTAATCATAATTTGATATCATTCTGTGGAAATTATTTGTTTAAATCATTTGTTAGTACTCTAAATGGAAGATGGATATTTGGAAAAGTTATTTTATTGTTTTAACTTTAGACTGAAAAAATGTCTCTATTTTTTTTAAATGTCTCTATTTTATAAAAACATTAATTAGAATATATTATTTATGCTTTGACTTACCATGTTACAGAGTCCCTCATGAATTGTACAATCTAGTGTACCAAACTTAAGCTGACCATAAAGAAGATTTGATGCTCTTCGTAATTCTGGTAGTAAAGCTCGACATGGTGGACACCACTAGGAAAGAAAAAATATTCGTAAGCACAAAGCCAAATGAAACAAACTCATAATTTTTGCACCAAACAATAGGCTAAGTAAGTCAAACTATACTGACTGGCAAATCTTACTGGTATATACTTAATCATTGGAGTGGTAATTACATTAACAGTCACTTAGAAGTATGATGCAACAGTGGCCAAAACTTAATGACACAGTTCTGGTTCAAGGTTATCTAGACAGTGTCTTTTTGCTATGATAAGAGAAAATCTGATAATTATTAAAATTTGACAGATAAATACAACTTACAGGGGCAAAAAAATCAACAAGCCATGGTTCTTTGTCATTGGCAGGAAAATTTTGAGGTCCAAGTGTGGTAACATGAGAATTAACACTTTCTTTGGCAAAGGCAAGTATATCATACAGAATCTTCTTTCCTTTGAAATTGAATAAGAAAAAAATTAAAATCCACATTTTGCCATTTGCATTCATAGAAATATTTCAAAATTTTTATATTCAAAATATTAAAGGAAGATGAACTTATAAACAAACTAATTTTTGTAAAGTTTTAGTGTTTGGTATACCATACACAGGTTTGCTCTGCCAGGAATATCCATTCCTTGCATGTTCTTCTGTTTCTTGGATTAGTTAAAATGTCAAGATCTCTTTGAAATGTTGCTTCATCCTCAGAGGTAAAATAATCACTTTTTTATAGTGTACTTTGAATTCTTTATGCTTACCCTCAGCTATTACTATAGGCCTAATTCCTGAATTTTTTTCTTCAACCTAGACCTCTTATGAATTTAAAACCCACATTATCAATTGCCCAAGGGAAAACCATAGTTGGATATCACATAAACATTTCAAACACAATATAGTCACATGCCACAAAATGACATTTTGGTCAATGATGGACTGATATACAAAGGTGGCCCCATAATATAATGTAGCTGAAAAATTCCTATTGCCTAATGTGATAGAATACTGCATTACTTTTTCTATGTTTAGGTATGTTTAGATGCACAAATCCTTATCACTGTTACAGTTGTAGACAGTATTCACTAAACCACAGTAACATGCTGTACAGGTTTGTAGCCTAGGAGCAACAGGCTATACCATATAGCTATGGTATATGGTAGTCACCTTTCAAAAAATGTGTAGTAGGCTACACATCTAGGTTTGTATAAGTACACTCTGGTGCTTTTATGATGATAAAATCACCTAATGCATTTCTCAGAATGTATCCGTGTCATTAAATAAGGCATGCCTATTTATCCAAATGAAAGCTCAGGTATTTTCCTCCAAACTTGCTCCTTTGCTCACCTTCCCTATCTTGGTATGAGCATAATCATCCACTAAGTGCCTAAATATATTTCCTAGAGTGAACCTTGCTTGCTTTCTCTGCCCTCATACCATAATTCTATATATTCTATTGCTTACTATCTCCAACCTCATTACTACTGCTTCTTTCTCCAGCCTTCCTTTACTAATCCATTTTCTACATTGCTACCCTAGTGAACTTACATGGAATGGTACAATTTTTCAAGTGCCAATTCACCAAGTCAGAAACATGGGTATCATCCTTGATTCTTCCCTCTCTTGTCTCCCCCCCCCCCACCAGCTCAACAACCACCAAGTTGTATTGATTTTGTACTTGTGGTCTTTAAAAAATCTGTCTAGTTCTCATCTAGATCACCATCATATCATTAAGGCAGCCATCTCCTCTTAATAAATGACTGTATGAGGCTTTTGCCTGTTCCCCCTTCCTCCATTCTTGCTTCCATCCAGTCACCTTTCAAAAAATGTAAAACTAGGTAAATCATACCTCTGCTTACAGCCCTGAATGTCTCTGCTTTGCCCTCAGGATAAAATCCAAATTCCTTTAACTGGCAGACTTGACACATATTTTGGACCCCTCCTGCCCTCTCCAGCTTCAAGTGTCATTCCTTTCCCAACACTCAACATTCTAGCTATCCTGAAAGTCTTGCCTGTCTAAGATCAATAAAGTACTCTCTCTCTTATGTCAGAGTCTAAGAAAACATCTGCTGATTTTGGTGCTTGGAATGTGTTTACCACCTCTTCACTGGTGTAATCTTTACTTATACTTCAGATCTCAGCATAGAGACTGCTCTCTTTAACCCCAGAAGATTGTTCCTCCTAAGTTTCTTCCTAAATGCAACACATTCTCATCCCTTACGGTAGCCAATTTCCAAGACAGCTCCCAAAGACCCCTGCCCCATGAACTTCTAACATTGTGTGGTAACCAGGGTTGGTGTATACGACCTATAGAGTATGGGGAAATGATAGTTTGTCTTGTCTGAGATCAGGTCATAAAAGACATGTTGCTTCTGTCTTGGTCTCTCTCTTTCTCAGATTACTTGTTCTGGGAAAAGCCAGCCACCATTTTATGAACAACCCTATAGAGAGGTCCACGTGGTGAGGAACTGAGGCCTCTGCCAGCAACCAGTGAAGAATGTAGGCCTCCTGTCATATAAGGCCTCCTGACTATTTCATGAGTCAGCCTGGAACCAGATCCTATAGCTGCAGTCTAGCCTTCAGATGACTACAGTCACCACCTACTTTGATTGCAACCTCATGAGAACCCGAGTCCAGAACCACCCAGCTAAGCTGTTTTCAGATTCTTGATTACTAAAAATTGTGAATTAATATTTGTTGTTTTAAGCCACCAAGTATTGGGGTAATTTAGTACTCAGTAATATTCCTCACTTCAAACATTTTTTTTTTTTAATTTGACCATTTACTTGTCTGTTTTCCCTACTAGGCCTTAATACTCTTTGAGGTAAAGATTAAGTATAATTCAGTTTTTCCTATTCCACAGTACTGTACCTGGTATATACAGATCCTCAATATCAACTTAAATCCAAAGAAAAAATGTAAGATATTATGAAGTAGTAAGAGCACATACAAGGAAGTGCTTGGGGATTCACAGTATATTTCACAGGGGAGAAACTGCTTTAAGTTTTGAAGGGTGATTTGGAGTTTGCTAAATGTTTGAGGAGCAGGAAGGAATGATTATAATGTGGGAGAAAAAAATCATCTGTGAAGGCACAGAAGAGTGACAGAATATGGCATTTTCAAGGAACCAAAAGTAGATGGAACTAAGATGATTTGGGGGCAGAGGTGGGAGACAAGGCTGGAAAACTTGGCAGAGGCGGACTGTAAATGTAGGCCATTCATTTAACAAACATTTACTGAGATATTACTATGTGCCAGGCACCATTCTATTAACAGGTGCTAGAGACAAAGCGTTGAACAAAACAATCATAGCTACTTTGCTAAGGAATCTGAAATTTATTCTATAAGAAATCAGGAAATTCAAGACAGAAAAGTTGACATGAGAATGGGCAATAACTCTGAAAACAAAATAAGCAATCAATTGTATATAAGAAAGGCTAGGAGAAAAGCAATCCTCTAGCAGGACGGTATTACAATACATGAAGGAGATCATGGTTCTGAAACAAGGCAGCAAACATAGGGCAGTGGGGGAATCTAAGAATATACCAAGAGGTAAAAAACTTGATCATTTCTAGCATTTTTAGGACATGGCATAGTTTAGTTGTCATAAACCTAAGTTTTGGAATCAGACACATTTGGGTTCAAAATCTATCTTGACCAGTTTTCTAGTTGATGGTCACAGGGCAGGCAAGTTACTGAACATTTTTGAGTCTTGATTTTTCTCCTTCACTGGGTTGTTGTGAAGATAAAAATGGATCATGTATGCAAGGCTCTTAGCAAAATGTCTGACTTGTATAAAGTTATTGAATAAATAGTAGTTAGGGTTATCTTGCTAAGCTTTTACTCACACAGTTCCTCTAGCTTAGAAGCTTCACTTCCTTTGCCCTTACACTTGCTGTAGGAAATTGAGCATTTTATCCTCAATTCAAATGTTACCTCCTGACCTCTATATCATGCAGACGGTTTTTTATTTGATCTTGTTGTAATTTATACATAATGGGAACTGAAATATTTTTCACATTTTCTTATGTATCTCCCTCCTCCTGTCCCTAAATAAACTGTATTTTAAACTTCTTGAGAGTTTATGTTTTACAACTTTGTATCCCTAAGACCTAAAGCAGTGTTTGTCACCTAACAGGCATTTCACCAGTATCTGTTTTTCACTTAACTATATTATAGTTGGTAGTCTATGTGTCTCTTTTGTTACATTTGACCTCTTTTAGGACAGGGACTCTGATACATCCCAAACTCTTGGGATTGGAACTGTATTTACATGAATGCAGAGATAAAGTCTCAAGCAAGCTGAAATGGAGAAATGTAATTAAAATGTAAGAGAGAACAAGACAGTTAATGGAGAAGTCTGAAAGTTCAGTGGCAGAAAACCCCAAAAGAATATCTGGAAATTGCCTATAATGGCTGAGATGCTACATGTGACACACTGTAATGTTAACTACAGGTGTTGCTTACTTTTGTCAATAAGAAGGACAAACTCCTCACTAGCCTGACCTATCATCAGAAACACTGATCAAAATATTGAAAATATTATAAAAAGAGAAAAGAGAATAAAATGACTATGTGTAATTCAAAATATCACTCATATTTACTAAGAGCAAAGTTATTTACAATAAGCATGGCCATACAAAACAAGGTTAAAAAAAAAAACCACAATTAGAAAATTTCTATTTAAAAAAGAAGATAACTTTTATCATTTTTTCCATACTTACCATGATGAATTTCATATTCTTTGGTTCCCTGTCCTTTAAATACTGCTAGACTTGGCTGAAAAACATAGAGATTACTACAGATGTCTGGTGCAGAGGAACAGTCAAACCTGCCAACCTAAAGTAGAAAGAGAAAGTTTAATAAAAACACACAATCTTACGTGTTCAATTTTTAAATATTCATAATGGCAATCTAAAAATGATACTGCTCTAATGAGTTTTTTAAAAAAATAATGGGCTATAAAAATAAGAGACAGAAATAATTCATTTACATTTAATGCTAAAACTTTAAAAAAAAAAAATGCTTCCCAGAGAGTTCAAAAACCTGACAGAAAATTCCTAAGAAAATATGCAGTTATTTAAGAAACCTACCTTTCTAAAAATATAGGGAATGTTTATATAATCTTGGGATAGAAGACAGCTTTCTAAGACATCAGAAGCAGAAATAATGAAGAAAAAAATCTGATGTTCTTATACAGTGTGAAAGAGAACAGCATGTGGTAAACAAAGAAAAAAAATTTGCAGTATTTAAGGCAGAGGATTCATTAGGAAACAAGATGGACAAATACTCTATCAGAAAAAAGAAAATGGGCTGGGGATATAAAGAAAGAATAAACCAGAAAACAATTATGACTTATTAATACATGAAAATATTTCCCCAACCACTAGAAAGCAAATAAATGAAAGCATGTTTTGTTAACACATTACTTTTGACCTATCAAAATAGTCAAGATAATAAAGAATGATAATAGCATGGTTGACATAAGTGTGAAGAAACGGTCATTCACATGTTGTCAATGAGATGATAAATTGATATAAACTTTCTGGAGGACTTTGGTAAGGAGAATAAAAACATTTAAAAATATATAATCTTAAATCAAAAATTCCTCATACTAAGGAAATAACTGGATAGGTCCTACATCATTTGATATAAAAAATAATGGAAATGACCTACAAGTCAGTAAGAGGATTTGTTAAACATTTATGGTGTAACCATATAGTACAATACTACTTAGCCTTTAAGGAATGATGAAATATATATATTAGGATAAATAGATTTCATATATATATATATAAATATTAAATTTTTACAGCCTGTCAAGAAGTTTGATATTGTTGGAAAAAAAGTTTAAAAACCGTTTGGGAGGCTGTGGGAGGATTGCTTGAGGCCAGGAGTTCGAGAACCAGCCTGAGCAAATCAAGGTATCTGCGGCAGTCTCTACAAAAAAAAGAAAATTAACCAGAGATTGTGGCACTAGTGCTTTAGAGTCTCAGCTACTTGGGAGGCTGAGGCAGGAGAATTGCTTGAGTCTAGGAGTTCAAAGTTGCCATCCTGACACCACTGCACTCTAGCCTGAGTGACAGAGCAAGATCTTGGTCACAAAAAAAAAAAGACCAAAAAAGCCAAAGATCAAACAAACCAAAAATTTTTTAAAAAGTATATATTAATAGTAAATCCATTTTGATTAAAAAGTATACATATAAATTTATGTGTATCTCTATTACAATGGCCATTACCACATGCATATGCGTATGTACACACATACATATACCATTTACTCATAAACACATACAAGCATTCTTAAAATGTTTAAAAGGTTATTCAGTAAATCTTAGCAGGGTTATCAACAATACTGAAAATATAGGTGATTTTTTAGATAATTATTTAAATTTTTGTACTTATTTATAATGAAAAAAATTACTTATATGAAGAAATGAAAATTTTAAAAAGGAAAAGATAATATTCTATAGTATGCATTCCAGAAAAATTTATGATATAGATTTATCAAAAGAAATGAAAATGAACCACTTTCAGATTTCGTATCAATTTCTAATAGAAGAAAGAAAAAAGAAAACATAAACCAAGACCAAAAACACTTATGGGCTTCTTAACCCAGAATTTCAAACAAACATTTTTATGTTGTTTAAAATTTCATTACATATATTAAATTAACAAGAAAGTACACTAGCAGAAGCCTAGGCAGAGTAGATTTCTCTTACTTGAATATGATCATTTTTAAGTAGATTTCTCAGTTTTTTCAACTCAGCATCATTTGAATTTTCATTTTTTCCAAACTGAAAAAATAATAGCCACCGATGATGGGCCAAACGATCCTTAAACATGATAAAGAAAAAGAAATGTCACTGACAGGAAATTCTAAGGATTCTAATCTTTATTTCTTTGACTTGAAGTCATTTTAGCTATCCTACCCATTATTTCAAAATATTATGTAAAATTTAGACCTCTTCATTCTCTTACTTTGGACTTTACATAGAATAATGCTATGCAAATCAATTATATAGTATCACAGGAGCATAAGACGCTAAATTATAAAATCTTAAAGTAGATGACTATGCAAAAAAATATGGTTTTAACAACACATAGCTAAAAAGTTAGGAGGTGGCAAAGTCAGCTTTTTTAGGTTTAACAAAAGATTTGGTACGGATACAGACTTAGAAAGCTTTGTGGTCAATGAGTAGAACAGAATAATGATTCTACCATAAACTGAGTATTTCTAAGCATTCTATTCACAAACTGCTTTTTAATTCACAGTGAACAATATAAATGGTTATGTAAAGCAAGAACAGTTCCAAATCAAATCCAAAGTTGCTTTGTGATTAAAATCTTGCCTTTTCTGATGTTCCTTTTGAAGCCCACATTCAGGACTGGGTAGGTTTTCCAAAACTATAGATCCACTCTAAATTATCAACACCAGAACTCCAATTAGAATTTAACCTATAACTGAATAATATACAATCCCTTGAAACTGCTACTTTTAATTCTCTCTAGAGATGAATAAAACAAATGCTGATTTTAAAATGTTAAGACTTGAAATATTACCAACGCTTATTACTATTTGTTATTATTAATAAAAACATTACCTCTAGCATGTTCGCAGAAAGTAGTTCAAAATCTGGAAGATTTTGTATTATTTCCAAATATATTTCTTTAGCATCCAATGAATTAAGAAACTAGAATAAGAAAATCATATTGTAATCTTTTTGAATAAACATTCATTTATATTTGGCATCTGTTTTTATTCAGTTTCCAAACCAGTACTTTTAAGAAAATAATACAGAAGTTAAACAGTTTTTCAAATGATTCCAAATGCTGTCTTTTTTCCAAAAAACAAAAAGTATACCATATCTCGGCAATTAATAATATTATGTAACTGGCTATTTCTTAAAAATAGTGATGTATAATAAATTCCATTATTAGGTGTTTCATTAACTGGAATTTCCTATTAATGGAAATCCTTACAATAACCTGGAGTGACCACTAAATCATCAGGAAAAAACTAACATTATGTTCAGTTTAATTTTAATGCTAATTTGTTTTACAGAATACCAATGTTCTTTACCCATTCATTTAAAGATTTTTATAACACTAGAATATCTGATGATCTGAGACACTTCATACCCCAACCAATAATTAGAGTAATCAAGATAAGAACTAATAGCTGGAAAATTGGAATGAATACCATTGCTCATTTTAGAGGTTTTCAGAACATCCAAAAACTAAAATAATTAGTTGTTAGAGTAAAAAAAAACTGACAAAAATCTTATCTTAAACATACTTTAGATCCAGTTATTTAAAACACAACTAAAAGAGACCCATTCAAAAATCTCCTTAACCCTGTGTTTTATCTTCTGCATATTTTTTTCACAGACTCTGCCTGCTGGTCTAATTCTCAATGAAGCAGCTGTTTATTACAAAGAACGCAACAATGGTTACATCAAGAAAATGCATCTGACCTTGCAATTTTTTATCATAAAGCCCAGAGATTGTAATACTGAAGGCAAGAGGCTATTTTTTTAAATTTTTTTATTATATTATGTGGGTACAAATATTGTTAGGGTTACATATCTTGCCCCTGGCAAGAGGCTATTTTAAGTGATGGCCAAGGTGTAGGCAATCCTTGGGAACTGTTGGCACAGTGTAAACTAATACAGCTTTTCTGGAAGGCAATATGGCAATAAGGATTAAATTTAAAATTGCCACGGTTACTCCATTCTAAACAGATAACTGAAAAAGTACACAAAGATAAACATACAAGATTGCTCATTACAACATTGTTTTTAATCATGAAAAAGCAGAAATAAATATCAAGAAAGAACAGATTAAATTAAGTATGTCACATTTAGTAGTGGATTACTCAGGGACTGTTAATTATTAAAAGGATAATATATACATATATAATATTTATAAAATAAGTATATAAAATGTATTTTTAATATATGTTAATATAGTCATTGCCAAAAATTTTCTTGATATACTGAGTGAAAAAACTGTAAGATAGAATCCTATGTAGTCCTATTTATGAAAAATTACATATCCATATCCATCCATCTATTTTATATATAAAGAAACATTTTAAAGATAGAGCCATGGATTTTCCTGAAGAACTGGTTATAAGGTATGAGAAAAAGAAGAATCAAGAATGACTCCAGAGCATTTGGCTTGAATAAATAAAGGACAGAGTTTTCATCAATTGAGATGGGGAAAACTGGGTGAAGCAGATTCATGTGGGAATATTAGGAATATAGTTATAGGCATTTAAATTTGAGATATTGACTAACATCCCAGGGGAGATATTTACTAGGCAGTGGTACATATATGTGTGTGTGTGTGTGTATATATATGAAGTGGAGGACAGAGGTTTGAGCCACATATATAAACTAGAGAATTGTCAGAACAAAGTCAAAATTGCACCTATTTGTAAGCAGACATCTGGAAGAGTATTTACCAAGATTTGACAGTGGCTGTCTATTGTTTTGAAGCAATTTTGCATCTTTCTTTATATAATTCTATACCATATATGAATTTCTGAAATGAGTATGTGTTATCTTTATCAACATCCAAAAAAGCAGAATTTAAATACAGAAAAGAAAACCAAACGAGGTTTGTTGTTATGGAGTCCTTCATTTTCTTTTGGGATTCCCTAGGAACCTATCTAATATCCCAATATGTATTCTCAACTCCTTGACAACTAGTTTAAGCCTAAGTTTCCTTATTCATAAACTTAGGGAATAAACATGAGTTATTAAATCTCCAAACTAAATTTACATCAGCATTCTACAAGGTGCTTTAAAAAAATAGGTACTGGGGCCCCAACCCAACCTACCACTTATCCATATTTTAACATTAGAAAATATACAATTAAATAGAAAACAATGAAAACTCATGGTATGGTATAAATGTTCTTTCATTATCCTAAGAATGTATTCCATACCTTTGGGGTGTAATGGTTTTCAATGTAATACAATTTTAAATGTAATGTAAAAGTATAGGTTTTAAATGTAATATAAATGCCGGTTCAAAAATAATTCTTATTACAGACTTTACAAACTGATGTATGTATTACACAGAATCCCAGAAACTAAATATGTGTTCTAAATAAAATGTTCCAGAATCAGAAAATATGAACTAATTTCCTTGCTCCATGCTTAAAATAATGTACTACTTTTGAATGTATATGTAACATTTTATGTAAAGAAATTACATTAAAGTGATTCATACCAAAATACTGCTTTTCTCTTTGTTATTTAAAGTGGCTCCAGGAGGAAAATAAGCAGTGGCACTTGTTGTAATATCCAAACTTTTACAAAGGTTGTCTTGGGTAGCACAATCCATCCATCCTACATTAACAAGACCATCCTAAAATGGAAAGAAAAAAAAAATAGGCCATGCTGTATATGGGAAAAAAAGTTAAAAGAATTTATCCTCTCCTTAGCTAAAAATGCAATTTTTCTATTTTAAAATTAAAACCTTTTGTTAATAGCACTCAGTAGCACTCATTATCTTGAGATAAGAGTTAAGTTTTTCCCTGATATTAAAGACCTATTTTTTATAATTCTTTTTACAAATTACAAAATACTACATTTATAATTTTTTATAGAAAGCAAGTTGTTCAATAGTCTCTTTCAGGCTAAAAAAAATCAAACTCACTATTGTTTAAGACTTTCCATTATGACTACCCTTTCAAAAATTATTACATAGTTTATCAGACATTCTTGATGTGTTAGTCTACATGTGCATTTAAATTAGTACCTTCCCAGTTTTCAGCTGTTATGGCTCCTTTAATGAATTCCAAAATCCTATCATGAAAAGTGTATTTTTCAGAACATCAAGTTACTGAAAAATTTTTTTGGACTGGACAAGTTAGTAAATAAATAGAGGTCTAACATACTTTCAACTGGGATCCCAGAAAGATGAGAGAGAGAAAGAGAGAGAAAATGGGACAGAAACAGTAATTGAAATAACAGCTGAGAAGTTTCCACAACCAATAAAAGATATTAACCTATAGATTCAAGAAGTCCAATAAATCTCAAGCAGAATAAACAAGAAATTCACACTTACACATAATGAAACTTGAAAAAATCAAAGACAGTTAAAAGCAGATAGAATAGATCTTGATCTAGGTGGTATTAATGGGAGCATGCATATATACAAATTAAGCTGTCCACTTAAGATGTATTACTTTATCCCATGTAAGATATAACAAAAAAAAAAAAGGAAAAGAAAAACATATAGGATTGAAATATATGACAGCAACGTTGAAGAGGCAGTAAAAGAATTTGTGTTATAAGGACTCTTGCCTTGTCTAGAAAATGAATGTCAGGGATTGATATGGTAATCTCTAGGGTATCCACCAAAAAAACAGTAAAAGTATATGGGTAAAGAGCTAGCAGACAGGGGAAATGGAACTTAAAAACAAAACAAAACAAAACACTTGATTAATCCAAAGGAAGGGAAAAACAGAAAAAAAGGATCACAAAATAGGCGGGACAAACAGAAAACTAATGAGGTGATGAGTAAAAAGCAAAATATATTAAGAATAATATTAAGTGTAAATGGATTAAGACCAAAAATAACAAGCAGGTAAAACACAAAACCTAAGTATATGCTGACTGTAGGACAATACACTTTAAGAATAAGGTTGACAGGAATGAATGGAAAAGATATACCATACCAACATTAACTAAAAGAAAACTGGTTTAGCTATACTAATATCAGTTGAGATAGACTTGAAGGAGGAACTACAGGAGATAAAGGTTATTTCATCAGGTTAGTGATTCAAATCACTAAGAAGATACAACAATTTTAAATTAGTATCCATCTAATAACAAAGGCTCAAAATATTGACAGAACTGAAGGAAAAAAACAGAAATATCCACAACAGTGGAAGACATTAAAATATTTCTCTCAGTTATTGACAGAACAGGCAGACAGACCATAAAATTATAAAGATCTAGAAGATTTGATTAACATAATTAACAAATTAGACCCAACTGATTTGACATTAATAGTAGATGTACCTGTGAACTACAGAATTCACTTTTTCAAGTGCACATGAAATATTTATAAAAATTTACTCTATGTTGGGTCCTGAGGCAAGGCTCAACAACTTTCAAAAAATGGAAACTGTGTTCACTACCTATGGTAAAATTAAGCTAGCCATAATAAAAAAATCCCATCTATGTTTGGAAACTAAATACAATTCTAAACAATCTGTGATTCAAAGGAAAAATAAAAATGGAAGGTCAAAAAATATTTTGAACTGATGATAATGAAAATACTATATATCAAAATATAGAATGTAGCTAAAGCTGTATTCACTAATTTACAGTCTAAATTCATATATTAGAAAGGAAAGGGTAGAGATCAATGACCTAATCATCCATCTCAACAATTTAGAAAAAGAACAGCAAATTAAACCCTAAAAATTAGAAGGAAAGAAATAAAATACATAAATCAATGAAATAGAAAACAAAAGTACAATAGGAAAAAAATCAAGAAAGCTAAATGTTGGGACTTTGAAAAGACTTGTAAAGCGGCCGGGCGCTGTGGCTCACGCCTGTAATCCTAGCTCTTGGGAGGCCGAGGCGGGTGGATTGCTCAAGGTCAGGAGTTCAAAACCAGCCTGAGCAAGAGCGAGACCCCGTCTCTACTATAAATAGAAAGAAATTAATTGGCCAACTGATATATATATAAAAAAAATTAGCCGGGCATAGTGCCTGTAGTCCCAGCTACTCGGGAGGCTGAGGCAGAAGGATCACTGCAGCCCAGGAGTTTGAGGTTGCTGTGAGCTAGGCTGACGCCACGGCACTCACTCTAGCCTGGACAACAAAGCAAGATTCTGTCTCAAAAAAAAAAAAAAACAAAAAAAACGACTTGTAAAGCTTGATAAACCTCTCTTGAGACTGATCAAGAAAAAAACAGACACAGTACACACACCAAAAAAAAAAAGTATTACCAGAGAGTAAAAAAGAACATCACTGCAGATTCTACAGATATTAAAAAAATAGGATATTATGTACAACTTTATACATTTAGAAATTTAGTTGAAAGGACAAAATCTTAGAAAAACAGAATTTACCAAACAGAGGAAGTAGAAAAGCTCGGACTTCACCCTCAAATATTCTGATTTTAATTAATCTGGGGGAGACCTGGTTTGGGTTTTTAAAATCATTTTAAAAGCTCCTCAGTTGAGTCTACTGTGTAGTCCTGAATGAACAAAAGTGTACTAAATGATTTTAACATCGAATAAAGCAAAACTCATGTAAAAAAATTCATAATGCACAAAGCCACCAAAAAGAAATAATGATCACGAACATATTGTCACCAATAATATATCATCAAAATATAAAGAATAACTGACAGAAAGAAAGAAATAACCCAAAATTTGTAGGTAGGTAGTTTTAGTATGCCCCCTTCTATAGATCGAGTAATCCAAAAATAAATGAACCAGATTTGAATAACATGATTAATAAATTTAATCTGATATAAAAATTACACCTAACCTACATAGAAGATATATTATTTTCAAGCTTACACAGAATTCACAATTTTCACAACTGACAAACTGCCACATCACAAAGGGAGCTTCAATAGTGTTAAAAAAGCAATATCGTACAGACCATATTCCCCAACCATAACATGATGAGAGCAAGTATTAAGAGCAAGTATTATAGAATACTTACAAGTGAATGACAGTGAAAGCACCACATATTAAAATTTACTGAACACAGCTAATTATTAATATTTAGAAAGAAACTTACACCTATAAATACATTTATCATAAAATAAAAAAAGATTATAGATAAGTGAGTTAAATGCTCAAGAAACTACGAAAGAAAATATTTGGAATACATTTCTAAATGTGTTTCTTTACGTGATGATGTAGTTTTACAAAATGATTGATGCTTACCAACATGCCACTGAGCCTGAGTCGTGTCTGTGAAGTCAAACAATCTGGGGAGAAAAAAACCTTTATGAGGCAGTTCTAGTTTTATTAAGCCTAATGAAAATACTTTCATTTCTTTCTCCCAAATTACCATATTCATTCTAAGGCAATTAATTGGGCTCTGCTGATAAATATTGAAAACTTTCTATACACACACAACACACACACACTCTCTCTCTTTCGCACACATATTCTTTCATTCTCTCCTCTTAATTTCTCAGGATTTCTAGCTACAGAGAAAAACAGTCATTTTCTCTCAAGCATCTTTTTTTTTTTTTTTTTTTTTTTGGCCTGCGAGCTGTAGTTTGATCTCTCAAGCATCTTTTTAGGATCCTACTCTCAAATCTCTCCTCCTATAAACAATCCCCTTTATGCAAGAGATATCATAAGTTGGGGAAAGTAAAATGTAACAGACCTATTTGATAAAAGGTATGTGAAAGATCCTAAAAATATAATAAAATCTTAAAATATCTTTACTATTTTTATGAAAGTTCCCCAAATATGAACTCTAGAATACAATAAGATTTAGAAGAAAGGGAGCTACAGTATCACAGAACCTATAAAAATGGGTAAAAGCAATTTACCTGACGTGAAAAATAAAATGATGTCAAAAAGTTTAAAAAGTCATATGTGGATGATCAGAAATCTGAGTATTAATCTCAAATGAGACAAAACCCCTTGGTGATAGACTAAGTTTAAGGCTGACTTTTGCAGCAAGGCAACATTAGTATCTTCCCAACATAGGCCTTACAGGATGGGGTGACTGGTTGATTTTAGTTTGAAGCAGTATCATCTTAACATAGCAGCATAAATGCTGAAAGATGAAGTGTGGTGAAAAGATCCACATTGGGATTAAACATATAAAAATATATTAATAAATCAGAACATTTCATTATACTGGGACCAATTTTAAACCAATCTTAGTTTCTGAATACAGTTTACAGTTTGTGGTTTGTTATGTAAGGTACTGAATTTTTTACTAAATTTACTGAAGAAAAGGTTCCTAGATAACAGCAAGCTGTCACCTTCAAATACATAATTTTATGAGGCAAATGTATAAAGTTTTGATAAATATAAGTGTGAGGCAAAGTCCATATTTCCAAGAAATTGTTATTTTAGGTAGGTAAAATTTTAGGAGGGGTGATAGCTGCAAAGAACTAATTATTTTTGCAAAATGCCAAATACATTTGTGGCTATCTGAAAGTACAATTTATCAAGAGTATATATAAACAGAAAAACTCATCCACTAAACATAAAAGCATAAAGGATACATTAAAAAATTAATAATTTGAGGCCGGGCGCTGTGGCTCACGCCTGTAATCCTAGCTCTTGGGAGGCCGAGGCGGGCGGATTGCTCAAGGTCAGGAGTTCAAAACCAGCCTGAGCAAGAGCGAGACCCCGTCTCTACTATAAATAGAAAGAAATTAATTGGCCAACTGATATATATATAAAAAATTAGCCGGGCATGGTGGCGCATGCCTGTAGTCCCAGCTACCCGGGAGGCTGAGGCAGAAGGATCACTCGAGCCCAGGAGTTTGAGGTTGCTGTGAGCTAGGACGCCACGACTGCACTCTAGCCCGGGCAACAAAGTGAGACCCTGTCTCAAAAAAAAAAAAAATTAATTAATAATTTGATAGTCTCATATATAAAATAATGAAAAAGATAAATATTCATTAAGTAAAAAAATAGTAATCTTGGATATAAATTGTTTCAAGTACTTAATCATCAATTATAATAGCATACATAAAACTGTCACCTAAAATTTAAATGTCATGGTCTCTTCATCATAACAAAATATTAAAATTACCTCCTCCTTTGGAACAAAAAGTGATCAGCCAGCCAATACCAGCAGCAAAAGCAGTTTGTATGGCATTAACAAAATTTCCTTAAAAGAAAATAAAGCAGATTTTTGCTCACTTATTCCATGATAATGGAAACAGCCTTCTAAATGATTTTCTCTTTCTAATGTTATCCTCTTCCAATTCACTCTAAGTATTACCAGTTATCTTTCTAAAAATTCTCTTGAGTATGTTAAATTCCTTCAACAATGCTTCATTTTTTTCATCACATAAAACCTAAATTCATTATTTCATTAAGAAAAAACTCAAATTGGCAAGTAAGGTCCCTTGTGATCTGAGCTTTGTTTACCCATTCAGCCAGCTATATTTTTCTCCTTACCACTTGATCCAATTATTCATCTTTTTGTCAGATTCATTAAGTACTGCCAGTTCCCCAAATACACAGTGATCTCTTAAGGTTCCCAATTTGTTTTCATGAGAGTTAGGGTATGAGCTCTTTCAAGAAATATTTTCTCAACTTGGTTGTTTTGTATATTTTATGCTTTCCTAAGTTTACCTCTATTATAATAGTTACTGCATTGCATTTTAATTATTTACTAATGTCTTCCTCACATTGTACCACTGTAGTCCTAGTCTTTAACAGTTTCTGACATATAAATAGTATTCAATGAATGAAACAAATATCCTTTTACCACAAATACTACCGTTTCACACAGTTCAGAGTAAATAAAATCACTTATAATTAAAAGCCTAAGAATATAAGAGTTTTTAAACTTTAAAATTAAGCTGAATAAGCATGAATTTACTGCTTAATATAGTATACTAAGGAAAGCAGTAAAATGTTTGTATTACTAAATAGTTGCACTATGAAAGATGTCTTTTTACCTAGCCCCATCTCATACACATTTCCCATATCTTAATTATTTTAGTTTCTGTACAAATATAACTAGTTTGTTAAATACTTTTCAGCAGAAATCAGAGTAAATGAGACAATTCTGTTCTAAGCATGGAAAAGATATTTTAAAATTTCAATATTATGACCAAAATGTTAATATTGCCATTAAAAAACTTATAATACCAATTTCAAAGTATCCTTGAAAATTAAGAAAACCAAATTACCTGTCCATAGTTCTGTCACTGTACTTTTAACGTGCTGCATTGCAAAACTCACTAAACTCTCCTTTGATCTGTCTCCATGATATTTCACTGTAGCCTATAGATTTTTATAAAAAGAGAAATATCTTTTACTTTTTCTTTTTAAATCTCACCAAAAATAATATCAAATACTTCTGATTTTACACTATTTTGAATAATGCAATAAAGTTCTGTTTCTTAAAAGTAGTGTATTTCTATAAACATTCGAGTGCAGGTGTCTTTTTTGTAGAGTGTCATTGGATCATTTGGGTAAATGCCCAGCAATGGGATTGCTGGATCAAATGGTAGATTCACTTGTATCGCTTTTTATAGCAGCACAATTCATAATTGCAAGGCTGTGGAAACAGTCCAAGTGCCCATCAATCCAAGAATGGATTAATAAAATGTGGTATATGTATACCATGGAGTACTATTCAGCTCTAAGAAACAATGGTGATATAGCATATCTTATATTTTCCTGGTTAGAGCTGGAACCCATACTACTAAGTGAAGTATCCCAAGAATGGAAAAACAAGCACCAGATATATTCTCCAGCAAACTGGTATTAACTGAGTAGCACCTAAGTGGACACATAGGTACTACAGTAATAGGGTATTGGGCAGGTGGGAGGGGGGAAGGTATATACATACATAATGAGTGAGATGTGCACCATCTAGGGGATGGTCATGATGGAGACTCAGACTTTTGGGGGGCGGGGGGGAAATGGGCATTTCTTGAACCCTTAAAATCTGTACCCCCATAATATGCCGAAATAAAAAAAAAAAAAAGTAGTGTATTTCTAAATGATACCTTAATAATCTCGATAGTACAGAGTCTATAGAAGACATTTTAATAATATGATTTATAATAGTTTTAGTTTCAGTTTCATCACTGGAAATGGAGGGGAAAATATCAGAGTTTTATATTCAATGAAACAATACCTGTAAAATACTTTGTAAACTACAAAGTACAATATGAATACTGAATAAATTATGTTCCTTAAGACAGAAACTGAAACTGGCTAACATTTAATTTTGAAATACAGCAAAGTCAAAGAAATGGTACCTAAAAATATTCATAAAATAATCCCAAATGTTCATTATTACTTGAGCTTAGTTAGATGGCACCTAAAATATGACTTCAAAGCAAAACATTCTACAAATTCACCTACTGTGCTTTCTCTAGCATTTCACTTTTTATAAAGTTTCACAATTTAAAAAAGTACTGACTTTACCCCTTACCATTCCAGACCTAAAAATGAAGAGGCTGGGATAGCTGTTGACTCCTTTCATTCGGCAAAGCATTCTATCATCACCACAGTTGACAGCTCCAATTCGAAGTAATCCATCCACTTCTTTAGCAAAGTCTCTCCACTATGACAGGACAAGAACACATAAGTTTTTCTCCGATAAGCTTGTTTTTCTTGCCTCGACCACATTTTAAGCTATACATTTTTAAAGGAGAAATTTTTTATGAAACAAAATCATAGATATTTTAAAGTATTTGATAATTATTTCCAATAGCTCTAATTACTATTAATAGAAAAAATTCCAACATACAAAGAAAGAAAAATGCAAAAATAGCATATCAATCAGAAATAAAACGCTAATCAGGCTGTGAAAAATACGTACTGTGGGTGCTAAATCATGGCAGTGTGAACAGCCTGGAGAGTAAAAGTTTACAAACCACAGTTCTCCAGAATTAATAGCAGCATCTAAAAGTACATAAAATGGAAACAATTTAGAATTATTTACTAAAAGTTCAAGCATATTTTAGTTTAAAAAGTTTTTTGTTGAGAACAGAATGGAAAAACACACCACAGGGAGTCCATCTTTCATACTGTCTTTATCATTCTATACATTTTTTTCCTATAAAAAGAAAACATATTTCAAATGTGAAACAATAATTTTTTAACTCTCCTAAGCCCATACTTGAGTAAGAAGCCGTCTTAAACTGCAAGATAAATATAGCCATGAAGATAGAAAAAGAGATGGCACAAGAAAACAACAGCCAAACCTCAGGTAAGAGTTTGTATGAATGACAGAAATAAAGAACAGTGAGAGCGACTGAGATTTAAGTTCTATTTTCTGCAGCACAGGTTAAATAATATGATCAATCAATTCTGACAGCTACTTCAAATTCTGAAAGAATCAAATAAGAGACCTACATGATACTCGGATTCAATTTAATCTTAGCCCTAAATATGATCTTAATTTGGAAAATCATGTTGCTTGAAAAGTATAAGATCAAGGTTTTTAAAAGTTCAAATTTCTAATTCATATTTGCTAAAATAATGTTGTCATTAAATACGAAATGTCCAATTTGAAATCAAATGTGTAGTTTATTATATCTCAGACAAGAAGCAGTACGAGTCAAAGTATGCACCTAAACTATCGACACAGTTTTGCCACCTTAACAGCTTGTTTGTGCCAGCAGCAAAGAAGCCTGGAGAGTGAGTGGCAATGAAATCATGAAAGGCATTTTCCACAGCTTGTTGAGAATTGAATTTTTTTCCTTGCAAGAAGTGGTCTGAAGCCTGAAAGAAGTGGTAGTTGGTGCAAGGTCTGTTGAATACAGTGGATAACAGAGTTTCCAAGTTCAGCTTCTGTTATTTGAACAGCATTGTTAGTGCAACATGTGGTCCAGTGTTGTTTGCAAGAGGATTGGCCAGTCTCTACTGACCAATCTCGGCTGCTTATTTGCAAGTATACTCTTCATTTTGTCCAACTGGTTGCAATAGACATCCCCTGTAATCAACTGATGGGATGTCATGAAGCTGTAGTGGATAACACCAGTGCTGGAACACCAAACAGACACCATTAGCTTTTTTATTTTTTTTGATGAATACTCAGTTTTGGACTGTGTTTTGGCAATTCGTCTTTATCCAACCATTGTGCTGAACACCTACAATTATCAAAAAGAATCCATTTTTCATCACATGTAACAATATGGTGTAGAAATAGTTTACCTTTATGTCATGACAGCAAAGAAAGGCAAGCTTGGAGATGATTTCTCTTGTGACGCTCATTTAATTCATTCAGAACCCATCTATCCACCTTCTTTATCTTGCCAATTTGTTTCAAATGGTCTAACATTGTTGGAATAGTAACGTCAAATCTTCCTACTAATTCATGTGTTCATTAAGATGGATTCGCTTCCACTACAGCTTTCAGGTCATCATTATCCACCTTGGTCTCAGGTCACCCACATGGCTCATTTTTAAGATTAAAATCATGAGAACAAACCACTGAAGAAAGTACGTTCATCTGCCACATACTTCCCAAACACTTTGTTGATACTTGGAGCTGTCTGCGCTGCATTAGTTCCATGATGGAACTCATATTAGAAAATAACACAAATTTTTGACTCATCCACCCTTTCATAAAAATTGCTCTAAAAAAATCTGAAAGATAATAAGCCAAAACATGTGTCTGAAAAACTGAGGACATATCTTCTCAACAAAATTAAACAAGAAGCATCAAAGTGAAATGTCAGAGATATCAACTGTCAAACTTAGTACTTATGGAAACTGGACACTTCCTACTTAATAATCTATCTAATATATTTGAATACCACATGATGGCTACAAAACAGTACATTATATATTATAATCTTAAAATGACCTGGTAGAAGTAAACAAATTTTACTCATTAAAAAAATTTTAAATTGCAAGCATGTGTTCTGACATTCAAAATAAAAAGGTGAAAGCAATTTGCTTTTGGTTAAAGCAGGTGTCCTCAAACTACGGCCTGCGGGCCACATGTGGGTGTTTTTGCCTGTTTGTTTTTTTACTTCAAAATAAGATATGTGCAGTGTGCATAGGAATTTGTTCATAGTTTTTTTAAAACTATAGTCCGGCCCTCCAACAGTCTGAGGGACAGTGAACTGGCCCCCTATTTAAAAAGTTTGAGGACCCCTGGGTTAAAGAGTTTCCATATAATTCCATATCAAAATCAGTCAACAGTAATTTTTAAATAAAAATTTCAGGAATTATAGTAAGATATCAAATCATACATGCTATTCTAAATATGTGCAATTAATTCAGGTTAATTAGAAACATGTGCAGGACTCAATGTTTACTTACAATTATAAGACAGATCTGTGGGAAAACAGTTGATCTGTACATTACAAGCAAAGTGTATCATTTAGGACTTTATCAGCTGTTCTTTGGCAATGTTTAGAAACTGGCAAACAGACCGTCAAAATAATTGCCATGTTGGTTTAGATTAGTGGTACCCAACCATTCTGGCACAAGGGACCGATTTCAGGGAACAGTTTCATGGAAGACAATTTTTCAATGGACCTGAGGCGGGGATGGGGAGGATGGTTTTGGGATGATTCAAGCGCATTACATTTATTGTACACTTTATTTCTATTACTATTACATTATAACAGATAATGAAATAATCATACAACTCACCACAGTGCCAATTCAGGGGAGCCCTGAGCTTGTTTTCTTGCAACTAGATGGTCCCATTTGAAGGTGATGGGAAACAGTGTCACCTGAAGCATGTTGCTTACATCCAGTCTAGTCCGTGATCTCATTTTGATTGCTGTCATTGCAGAAAACCCTGCTTCACAAAGACAGGATGTTGGAAACAAAAGCAGGCCTTTCAGTGCTTTTGTGGTAATCTCAGGATATTCTGCCTTGACTTTAATCCAGAACATATGGAGATTTGAAGTCATCTCAAACATACTTTTAAGGTCACCATCATTTGTGACCTCAAGCAGCTGATCCTCTTCCAGCATGCACAAAGTCAATTCATCTGGCTTATTCACAAATGGGGCATAAATCCATTCCTTCCTAGTTCGGGGGTCTTTTGTGGTTGGGAAGCAATGCTCAAACTCTTGAAAGCTAAGCGATTATGCACCAGCTAGGAGAAAGGCGGCCTTGGCTCAGTCTCTTTCAAAAATCTCTGCTGATGTTTGAAAAATGTCAAAAATCCCAATGTTCATTCATTGCACCCATAATTCCAGTTTGGCTTTGAATGCAGCCACTTAATCTGCTGACTTGAACATACTTGCTGTGCTCCCCTGAAGTGACAGACTGAGTTTGTTGAGCAGGTTGAATATATCACACAAGTAAGCAAATTTTGCAACCCATTCGGTGTCACTGAAATTTGTTGCCAGTGGTGACTGTTTTTCAAAATTACTGGAGTGGAGCTCATAACTCAAAAATTCTGACCAGTGATCTACCTTTAGAAAGCCATCTCACTTCTATGTATAAGATGTGTATGCTCTCTGTCCACCTCCTCACAGAGCTGTACAAACATATGCGAGTTCAGGGCACGTACTTTGATGTGGTCAATAATGTCAATTACATCCTGCAAAATGTTGTTTAGTTCAGGTGACATTTTTTGGCTAGCCAGCACTTCTCTACTAATGACAGTGTGTAGACTCACATTCAGAAGCAACCTCCTTGACCCACGTGGTGAAACCAGAAAACTGGCTAGTCATGCCAGCCACTCTGTCATGTATATACTGACATAAAATGACCAATTTAGCTTTCCTGATATGTGATCATTCAAAGACTTGAATAGGTCTACAGCTGTGGTGTTGGTCGGCAACAAAAGTGCACATAACATACTCTCATGCACATCCTGCTGAAAAACATACTGCATAAAAACAAGCATTGTTGCCTTACTGTCAACATCAGTAAACTCATCAATCTAGATTGCATACCACAGTGACTCATTAATCCTAACAATTGTGCCTCAATATCTTCTGCTATTTCATCAATTCATCTAGTTATGGTGCTAGCCAAAAGAGGAACACACGTGCCACCTTTTGAACTGCAGCCTCTCCTAAAAGTTTACAGCAACTGTCCTTAGCAGTAGCCAGGATCAACTCTTCACCAATAACAGCAAAGGGCTACTTAGCTTTAGCAATGCAGTTTGCCACTATGAATGAAGCTCTCAGTACAGACACATCTGATGAAGTGGTGGTCTTTAATAATTGCTTCTGTTCTTCCTGTTCATGGTTTTTTCTTTTGAAAAACTCAAAAGGCCTGTTGTCTTTTAATGCAAGGTGCTTGGTTTCCATGTGGTGAAGCAGTTTTGAAGGTTTCATGGCTTCGTTGGACAGCTGATCATCACATATTATAACAAAGTGGGCTTGGAGAATATAAATCACCTGTTGCAATGAACCTGCAATTTAAGTAGGACTCTTGGTATTTTCTTTTAAATGCAGCTTTCATTTTGTTGGCAGTCTTAGAGTTTTCTGCTGTCTCATCATTGGGTCTTCCACCCTTTTCAAAGAAGCTCTCTAGTGACGTTTGTTTTTTATTCATTTTTGCTAGGATTACCTTATGGACTTACTAAAACTCTGACTGAGACTAGTGCACAGTGTGGGAAAGAGGAGCAGACGGAAGTGGTAAATAAAATAATTAGCAGGCCACATGCAGACCAAAGTGTCAAATTCTGACTTAGAGTCTGCCACCAGATACAGTTGTACAATTGAAGTGCATCAACTTACTTGCCACTATAAATCCTGCCACCAGATGCAGCTTATCATTTGCCACTCACTGATAGGGTTTTGATATGAGTCTACAAGCAACTGATTTATTATGGTCTCTGTGCAAACCTCTCTGCTAATGATTATCTGTATCTGCAGTTGCTTCCCAATGCTAGCATACCACTTCAGCTCCACCTCAGATCATCAGGCCATTAAAATCTCATAAGGAGAGCACAACCTAGACCCCTTGCATGTGCAGTT